ATGCCACATGCCTTGAGCCCGATTCAGCTCCAAACACGATCTGACATCCGTTATGTTCAAGTCGACTTACTATGGATTCTACGATTGACCATCCATCACATTTGCCGAAGATGAGGAGTGGGTACAGTGTGCTAACAAATGAACAAGCGGCGGTAGTCCAGCTCAAACGCTTCGGGAGTTCTTACTGCTTAAGTTCAACCTCGTCCAAGTAGGGCCTTCTCGGATTTTTGGTGGAACACGAGAGGAGTTGAGCTCTGGAAACCCCTCGTGTAGATGTCGCAGTCAACGCGAAGTCAACTATCCACAGCTCGATTGCAACGCTTTTAATACGAAAGAAAAGCAAGGCAAAGTTTGCTTTTTATGACACCAACCACCTCTTGCTAAGAAAATCCAGGAAAATTTTGGACTCTCGGACGGAGAGTTCTTCCGTATCCACCTTATAGCTCCGACCTCGAGCCAAAGGATGCCCACTTCCCTCTCCAGACCACGTCCTAGAGAAGAAATCTCATCCTAACCATCATGATGTCAAAATCGACATCTGATCTTTCTTCGATCAGAATTCAGTAGAGTCCTACAAGAAGGCATCGAGCAGCTACTAGTGTGTTGGCAATAGGTTGTAGATATTGATGGAGGGTAGCATGCCGGATGAATGGAACAAAAAGATAATGAAAATATTAAATTCAAAATTCGGCCAGTTTGTTGCAAGACTTATGGACCGACCTAATATATACCCTCATTATGAACTAATTCGTCCATGCGCGCTATTCATCGTGACCTGTTCTGCCTGAAGAAAAATAGTCTTCACTGGAACGGCACTCTTTACTAATATCTAATATAAATTTGTCCCAAAAGTTCGTGCCCATTTGAATCTGATGCCACAAACTCCTTCAGTCTAATTATGTTTACCAAGGCTGTGGCGAGGCGCAACGTGTATGCAGTGACTTATAACCAAATCGCACATACCAGTTGCCTTCTTCGATTTTAAAGTGAGAAAAGAGAACAGCCATGTTTGTTACAGAGCTACGTACCGATCGGAGTCGAAAGTAACGCTTTCATTGTGATTCCCTTGCCAATGCCAGCCATGCAGTATCAAATTTTTTCTCAGAGACTATAAGCTGGGGAAATACCCTTGTTCAGGAAAACCGTTAGTGTTGGATTTGGACTGGCTGCGCTCTCCCATTGAAGCCGGTCCGCATGGAAAAATCTGCTATGTGGCCTACAGGGTGTTTCAGATGCGCAGTTCATCGAGATTCTCGCACCCTCGTTAAATTGTCAAAGATTTGCAAAAAATTCCCTCATAAATCGACATCTGATGACAGGAGTGCGACACGAGATCCGTCTACAATTTGTTTCCTACTCCACCGTACGCACTGAATTGAAAAGCCGCTACTGCAGTTGAAGAGCGCAGGTTTCATGACAACCACGTGCAAAAGTGTGGCTGGATCGAGTAGAAGAGGCTGAAAATGCGCAAATTTTCTAAAGTTAATGTTTCGATTGTGCTGGAGCGTTGGGAACTCTTTCTCTTAACAACCTCTGGAGTTGGTGAAGTCCAGTGTAATTAACGGCTCAGACTCGGTTCCAGCAACTGTCCTTGAAATTGAAAAAATATGTTCGCTCCACAGCAACCGCGACGACGCGTTTTGAAAATGACGCAGCTCTAGGTGTCGAGGCATAGCTGAAAAGTACCCCATATCCACCCTGCAGCCGCGATAAACCACATTTCGAAGAGCGTCGCGCTCTTCTCAGCAATCATCTTGCGAACAAAAAAAAGTACGAAATGGTACCGGTTGACGAGATCAACCCGTACAAACGAGCTCGTCCCATTCGCTGGCTCATTTAGGGTGGAAACCAAAAGGCAATAAGTGGTCTCTTTCTTGGGTTCCAAGCTATTTTTCCTTGGTTTTTTCTTCACACTTACTGCACATCGATCAGCGGGTGGCCGTTGTATGGTGAAAACCACTTGAGAATACAACAGTTTACACATTGGTCAATCATGTAAAAAAATAAATCAGAAATCAGCGCTAACCAGCTTGGAAGAAGAATTTACCAACCAACGGTCCTTACTAGATAAGCAATCACAGAATATACGATCCGCTTCTTCCCTAGGTATATGAAGACCATCAATGAGGGTGTCATGCTCAGCACAACACTTATCGACTTCTGAAAAGCAGATGTTGGTACCTGTTAGTTCTAATAGCAGAATGTCTTGAAAGATTGAATGGTCAGCCAGCACTGTCGGTATACGCAAAACTGCTGCTCTGCTAATATCAGTCGATCAAATAAAATAATATTTCCGGGTATGTTGTTCTCTAATTCACTTTTGGAAGTGGAGCTTCACTTTTAGCTGAGTTGAACGGACATGTGTGGGAGATTGCCCCCGTCGCAGTATCTTCTATTATTCCACCACTAACACCATTCTGCTAGCATTCACTTTTGGAAGTGGAGCTTCCACTTTAGCTCGATTAACTGAACATGTGCTGGGGAGATGTGCCCCCCGTCGCAATAACTTCGTATAGCATACACTCCACTAACGAAGACGATGTTTATGAGAAACGGATTGGTTCCTGATGCCCCATTCACGCTCAACGGAACGAACATCACCGAATGCTCCAGCTACGTGTACCTAGGTCGGGAAATCAATATGATGAACGATCTAGCTCCAGAGCTGAGCAGGAGGAAACGAGCGGCTTGGGGAGCGTACAAGAACATCGAGGGAGTAGTGAAGAAGACGAAGAACATCCGGCTCCGTGCCCACCTCTTCGATTCCGCCGTCCTTCCTGCCCTAACCTACGCCTCAGAGACTTGGACTCTGCGCAGGCAGGACGAGCATGCGGTCAGCGTTATCCAACGCGCTGTCGAGAGGACGATGCTAGGAGTAACCCTATACACGCAAGTGCAGAGGGGAATCCGGAGTGCCGAACTACGCCAACGATCGAAGATCAGGGACGCTGCCGTTTTCGCCAAGGAATCGAAGATAAGGTGGGCCGGACACGTCATGCGATTTTGCGATGACCGTTGGACCAGAGCGGTTACCGACTGGATCCCTCGGGACGTCAAACGAACACCTGGACGACCGCCGGCCCGATGGTCAGACTTCTTCACGAAAGCTCTGAACGAAAGGAATGATGGACTTCGTGTCCCTCGAGCAAGGAGGATCCACTGGACCACTCTAGCACGCGACAGGGACGAATGGAGACGTTGCTGGCGCCCGCTCGAGCAAATCGATGATCAACGGGACGACAGGTGATACAGGTGATATCAGTGAACACCGAAATATGGTAGTTCTGCTGATTTTGACGCCTTCTCGCGTAATGGGAGAGGATGAACTACGGTTAAAAATCCCTGGAAAAAGGGTCGTATTTGCCTTGGTGAGAGGAGAATCAGTCGTAGGTGGAGATAGTGGGGAGTGGGAGGGAAAAGCAGCGGCGGTGAATTCAAACATACCTTCCTCTTACCCCTTCCCTTCTCTCGCTCTCGTCGGCAATTTGGGTAGCAGGTTAGGTTGAACTAGGTTCATGGACATTTAACACACTACCGTCTAGAGGAGAACATATTGATCAGATGTGGCTTCTCCTCAACCGGGTTAACAAATGTAGATGGAGCAGTGAACACTCCATGAAGGTAAACTCTTTTTTTTTCACAGACACTGACTTCCTTTTGCAATAATATAACTCGGCGTTTCCACTAAGCCATGGAAATCACCTAACAAATCACCCAACTTGGTGTCACAACCTTTTTCACCAGTTTTTTAATCAAAGTCTATTTGTAAGGGTTACTGACGGTCCTAATCATGAATATGGTACTAATTATTCATGCTAACTCCATTTTGCGCGAATTTTGAACGTCAACTCGAAATGCAAAAATTTGTCACCACGAGGAATCGAACTAGGGACCCCCTTTTCGGTATTCAGAGGGCCATTCAAGAAAAATTAACCGTGGACTAAGACCATTTTCAAGCCCGTCTCCGACACCGTGTAGATTACATGACAAACGCCAAGCTACGATGGGCCGGTCACATCATGAGGAGAGTAGATGACAGGTGGACAAGAAGAACGGTAGAGTGGGCTCCCGTAGGATTTTCGCGGTCCAAAGGGAGACCTGCTGCGAGATGGGGAGATGCACTCGTCAATCACATAAAGCAGCTGCGAATGCAGCTGAACGATGCTTCAGATCGCCGTCTCCGCCGACTTCTACAACAACCATGGATGGCGATTGCGAAAGAACGAAACGAATGGTTTGTTGCTGGTGCTCGCAGATGAAATGAGGACGAGCCGTATGAGAGAGATAGTACTGCCTGCTTTAGCTCACAGAACGACTTATCAGTATGGGTGCCTAATTTCCACCGTAATTACGTTGCACTGTAGCGCGCTGTTGAGCATTGGAGTGCGTAATCTGATCGATGCACGTGTCCAAGGGTTCCTTGATCGGGACCGGGCTTGGGCAGTACAACACCCATTCGCGCGGCCACCAGGGGGGCAGCCTTCCGAAATCCTTGCAGCGCTCGCCTCGTCGCGTGCATGTACGCTTTGAGGCAGACCCTGGTGCTTGAATCTCCTGCCCGCGCTTCTACGTGGCTTCATTCTCGCATTCCCGTACTTTACCTTCCCCAGCGATGGTGTTCCGTACAGTTGACAACAATACCCTTATCGCGACTCTCGCGTGGAGCGCACAGAGAAAACGACGAAATCAAATCGATAGCATGCGACACTGCGAACGCGGTTACGGTGGAACCTACGCAACCATACTGAGAAATCGTTTCGTCTCTAGCTCTTTCCGACAACGATGCATGAAAGGCACTCCATTGTGTCGAAATCACCACTGCACGTTGGTCAGAGCAGGATGCCATGATTTTTTAGAGGGGTTCCTCCGACGAGAATACCACATCGCATTGCTTCGCAAAAAGACGATTTGTATGACATCTTCGGTTCAGGCGTTGCAGAACAGTGGAAATTTTGGTATCCATTCTGCTGTTCTCGTAGGCAACTTCCAGAGCGAAATCATTGCAGAAAGCCTATCTATTATAGCCACTTCCTCCGTCGAAACACCGGTTATCTTTTATCAGAACTCGTCACTAGTAACTGCTTCCGTTGGGACCGTCCATGGCATGTTTTTCCAGTCAAAACGCACATAGAGATCCGTTTCGTGCGACTGCATTCAAACTTACTTTCATAGATCACTTCTTAATAAAAAAAATAAACAAATGAATAAATAAATTGCAACATTTCGAAATGAAGTCGGGCCCCTCTTATTGCGGTCGGTAAACGTTGGAGAATTTTTGGTGACTTTCTAACGATGTCGTTGCTCTGTCTCGCCACTCTCCCAAATTGCAGTTTTCGAAGCAAAAAAGTTCAATTCCAAATGAACCAGGTCAAAGAAGGAGAACTTCAAACGATGAACTTTCGACGGTCATACCTACTGAATCTGATGGAAATGCGATTATATAAGAGACAGCACCGCTTATCGGTCCAATTCCACATTTCCATGCTTTGGTTCCTGCGATGTGCAAAGAAACCAACAGTAATGTCAGGTCTAACCGCATGACACCTGAAAATATGGCGCTGATTTATGCTTTCAGCAGCTGTTTAGAATCAATTGAATTTCGGCAAACAGAAAAATTATCGCGTAAATTTTTCCGAGAAATTTATGAGCGGTGCAGCATTGTAGGGGCTAGTTGTAAAGGGCAAGTCAAATCACCAGTGAAATAATTTTTACCGTACAAAAGACTGTCAAGGAAAATCTGCAGCACAACTCACTTCAGAGGGTACGACAAAATTTTTTCGATGAAAGTCACATTGGAAAACTAAGCGTTGATGGTTCGTTTAAGAAGAACTGGTGTGAATAAAAGTGAATTTGTTATCTAAAGGACTTTTCACAGAATTCAAGATTTCTTGGAGTTCTCGCATTCAACAGGATGATTTTTTAAATGGAGATATGAGATGGGAAATTAGTTAGAAAAGGCAAAAAAGTGAGTTTTTTAGGGCAAGCAATGTTCAGAAGATTTCTCCTCATCACTGCTTAGCTGCAGCTGCAAGTGTCTTATTGCTTCACCAAATTCCTACGAAACACTTCGAGTAGAAAAAATCAGGCAAAAATGAATTTTTGGCGAGTAAATTAGCCTACAGTACTAAAAGAATACAAATTTACCACCAATTAAAGGAAGGATAAGGAGGGCGGCAAAGAATCATTTGGCAAACGTGCTACATTTCTCGCAGTGCAAACCAAGCCAACCAAGGCTCGTCTTCCTCTAGGCAGTAGTCATATGAGATGATAAGAAAGAGATGATGAAATCATATTTTATCAGCACGTAAAAGTGGTCTAGGACTGCGACTTGTGTGTGGATTCCAGGAAGGGTTTCATGAACGAAACGTCTTCGTATGAAACATTTTGAAGAGGTCCATCCAGTACCTCCTCAAGAAGGAGTGGTAACTGTTAAAACGCCGATTTTTGCCTCCTAGGTTTCCCAATTCCTAAGCGCTAAATATGAGTTCTTGTTTTAATATTGAAAGAAAAAGACAAGTAAGGCTTTGTAGAGCTTAATAAGTACTTAAAAATTTCATAGGCAGTCTTCTATATAAGTTCACTGACTGGATAAAAAACAAACAGCTACAATTTATGGCCGAACTTAATAGTTCACAAAATTACCAAGAGAATCTACATTTTCAAATCACAGCGCCCTTCAAGGTGCGCAAGAAATGCCACCAATATTCTAGTTCTTATAATCGCTTATTAATAGAGCTTATTGCGGGGAGTGTTAGAAAAAAGGTGTGCATCGGAGAAGATTCATAAGGAGTAAATGAAAAATAAGAGTGATGGAAAGGGAAGGCAACAAAATAAGGGCTACATGGGGATATTTGTGGAATATGAACATTAGACCATACCTTCTATAGGTTCCAAGGCTTCACAGCTTTTTGTCGCATTTATCACCAACGCCCATTTCAAAAAAAAAAAGATTTGGCGCTCTTTTTCTTTCTCATCCACTATTTTTCAATGAAACGATCTCACGGTGACCGTGGTCACGGAGCAAGGAAGCATATAAAGTCTTAAGCTTTAATTTGATGTTCAGAACCACCTTTGCTCGAAACGTTCGCAGTAGCTTCGAAAAGAATCAACCTTCTCTATACAAGATCTTTCAATGAGCAGGTGGTGATCCTACCTCGCTAGCTTTGTTTGATATAAGAGGTAAAACGAGAAAATAAACAGATCCTATCACTTGGATGGATTGTAAAATCTCAGCTGGTCACAAAGTTGGCATGTCCCCTGTGATCTTACACACACTATTGCCATCAGGTGTTGTGATACCCCCAAAAAATGTCTCGAATAATCGGGAAATTGGGAAAGAAGGCTCAAAGAGGACTTTCACGAAACAGCATCGTACAGTTTTGCATTCAACTAGCATTCCAGTTTCATGTGTGTTGCCATCCCTCAGAATTTACTCAACTGGGTAAAGTATGGGTATCAATCACGTTCTAAGAAATATCATTAATTCTGTTCTCTTTGGAGAGACGTCAGAGCCATCTAAGAGCTTACAAAGGAACACTACTAGACTAGGACTATTTACCATTCACTGCTCCTCACCTCCAAAAGTGGCCCGATTTTAATCGAAAATTGTCCACGATTTAATATTTGGCAAGGAAGTTTTTGCGATAACAGCTCTTTAACTTTCCATTACTACACCAAGCTATCAGTGCTGAAGCTCATAGCGGACCAAAATTCATTTCCGATACTTTGGCTCTTCGAATATAATCGAAGCACAAATGCTTCTCCCATGGGCTAGAGATATCGACGTCGTATGTGGAACTTCGGACAATTCAAGAATAACAACTTTTGTATTGCTGACGAAATTCTCTCAGAACGCCCAGTTCAGTTCGGTGAACTTTTCTTTACTTCCCTTCTGACTTCACCCTACAACTAGTGAATTGGTTCTAGATGTCCCCGAAAATTCATCGGGTCCATAAAGCCCACAGAAAGTGTCCAAAAGACGGAGTGTCTGGCTACATCACGAAAACGCCGGCCCGCATTTCGCACAAATCACTAAAATTGTCGTTCACCAGCTGAGTCGAAGGTTCTGTCGAATTCACCTCAATTCTGCCACAGTGCATCCTTAAACTACTGTCTTTTTTATTCTGTCCATTGGCCAAATCACTTCGTACTGTTTCTTTCAACAACGGAATGACTTGACTTAACACCTGATTTATTTGCCTCACTAATTTTGAGTTGCGCCATATAGTTTTCTAAGATCCAACACATCAGCCAGAAATATTCAGAAAGAGTCGAGAAGACTATAAAAACAGTTTTGGTACTTTTCGTTACAAAAAATAAAAAAGGAAAGAAGAAATAAAAGTGCACGAATCTATCTGACAACCTGATGCGTATTCCTTTGTATACAACACTGAAAGTAGGTAAACAGAAGGTACACTGGCTCAAGACAATGAAGCAATTTCAAAATTGTATTAATTACTTTTGCTTAGCAGCTGGTGTTAGGGCGGGGGGGGGGTGGGGGTGTACAGCGTTTCCATTCTGTCACCACAATCAAACAGGGTCGTAGGTGAACTATGTAAACACTCTCATATGGTGTATTTGAAATTCACACACTCGAAAATGATCGTGGGTGGAATTGGAGACACAGAGACAAATCCGATCTCATTTTCATAATGCTAAAGACGAATTATGCTCTGATCCTATTAGCCTAGAAAAAATGTTTCGCATTGCTGCTGCAGACGAACTTCAAGGTCTTATCATTCGAAAGTTATTGACTCTAAATTATTATTCATTATCATTCGGGATTAAAGTTATAATTTATCGTATTTATACACAAACACTTGGTGCAAAAACTTAGGTCATGAAGGAGCTAGAGGTTCAGGGTGTGCCAAGCTTTTTCAAAACGGTTTCTTGCATGATATAGGGGCACATGCGGGAACCACAGAACCATGGTTAATTTTTCCTGAACGGCCCTCTGAATACCAGAAAAGGGGTCCCTAGTCACACCTTTTTCACCAGTTTTTCAATCAAATCTATTGGAACGTCAACTCGAAATGCAAAAATTTGTCACCACGAGGAATCGAACTAGGGACCCCTTTTCTGGTATTCAGAGGGCCGTTCAGGAAAAATTAACCATGGTTCTGTGGTTCCCGCATGTGCCCCTATATCATGCAAAAGACCGTTTTGAAAAAGCTTGGCACACCCTGAACGACCTCCCTTGTTAGGTCGTGAAGGTCTCCATCTTTCACTTGTGTTTTAAAAACATGATGTGTTCAGGATCCGTGTTCAGGATTGGCTGGACGAATCAAATAAATCAAGAAGTTCTTAGCCAAGACTAGAGGAACTGATTGATGGCCCGCCACAGGATCATGCTGGTGTGGTTGCTGCATGCGAAAATGAAACACTGGTGAGAAGTGAGCCGGCAGTAAAGAAAAAGGAAAAGAAGTTCTGAGCTGACGTCAAGACCATGATCAGTTATTTGATTCGGCGATGTCAAAGCAACGAGAGAATGTGAACGGAGAAGGAAAAAATGGCGAGAGAGTTCAGCAGATAAGAGAGCGCCAGACACCAGCATACTGCGGACGAGAATGAATTGAAGCGATGAAGCGTTCTTTTCAATACTCTAGCACCCTTTTTGTGCGCTCAGAGGCGTGAGTGCGGGACATCTACGAAAGGATCAGCTCTATCCAAAATATTACAAGGATTCCTCCACCTCAACTCACCCAAATTGTGCCTTCAACTGAAGAATGCCTAAAATAGGGAATATAGAGCACACATCGTGAGACTTTTCTCAAACGAGTTCGATTAGGAAGCGTTGAAAAGTTGCGATCCATCGGACATATGGATGCTGATGTTAACGAATCTTATGCCTGCTAGCCATGTACACGATCTTAATAGACAAGCGTTCGCCGATCGCTGAGCAAATATATGAACAGACGATCCCGGCATGAAAACAACCACATAATAATTTATCGATCATAACAAACCCAGGAATTTAAATTCCAACAATCAAAGTGCTCTACAAGTTGAGCTGTACCGAAGAAGAACTTCGAAAAAAAAAATTTCGTACAGATAGTCGATACCTATCAGAGAAATTAATATTCCCTCTATTTCGGAAGACTAGAAGAGCGTCGAGTGCAGACCACACACCACAAGTGGAAAAAGAAAAAGCGCCTTTTTTTCTTGGCCGTCGTCACTTGTGGTGTGTGGTCTGCACTCGACGCTCTTCTCGTTTCTGAAATAGAGGGTATGTATGCATCCAATAAGGTTTTAAGGGACTATTCTGTTATAAATTCGTTCTTACACAAATCAAGTACTCAAAACAGCCAGACTGGTTTTCAACAACCCACAAGTAATAAAGAAATGCACAATGGGTTATTTAGAAAAAGCTCGTCAAAATTGAATTGAATTCGAAGTACTTCGTATATTTCAGTTCAATAAGGGTGACTAAGGGTTGAAAGTGGCTGAGTGGTGACAAAATGAATTTGTCAAAGCAGAGGTATGGCAAGTGGTGGCACAGAGCCATTGAATAATGACGGTTGTAGTGTGACTACATTTCGT